GGGTGGATAGTCGGAATCCGTTTATATTATTTTTCTTCCAATTTTATTTTTCGGCTGTGTACAATCATTTATAGCAACAACTGTCCTATGATACTTATTAGATATTATCTATAGAAATATATACATAATTCTTGTTTGAAAAGTCAACGCTGAAATTAAAGGAGTGCCTAACAGGATTAACAATTCATTGGAATCTTGGCATAAAATAATTTAAAATGAAATTAATCACAAAATCCAATAGTAACGTATTTGGAATACTTGCAAAAATCGCCTAGTTCATCACTAACACATGTGTTGTAGCAAAGAAATTTATAAACGGTTGCAAATATGCAATATAAAAAACGAATTTATCCAGAATATAAAATTACGTCCACTCAGTAATGAAATTGGTTTTGGTAATTGCCTGGAAATATTGCAGAATTTATAAATTCCTTAATAATATTATTTAAAACGAGGAAGTTGACTATAATAATGTCTGCCTCACGGCAGCCTGCCTCAACGAAGTATAGCCATCGGCACAGGATAGAATTATAGTGCCCAAGTCACAGATTACCCCCTAATAGATTCCACATACAGGGCCAAAAACGCGCGCAACACATGCTTGCTGTAGCTAGCATACGAAGTATCGCTAAGAATCACGATATCAGTAACGACCACTCTTGTGACCCGTAGGTTCTTGACAATTTAAAAATAGTCTTTTATCCAAAATATATTACAAATGGCTTCCTGTGTAGTAAAATAGTGTGACAAGTCAGCTAAGACATCCAGCTATCAAAAAGAGGGCATAACATTTCATCGGTAAGTAAATTCTATTCTTATCACGTTAACCTATCGTTAGTATAAGTTGAACTGCTTGAAATGCACCGGAGTTCAACTTATACTGGTATTAAATGTACCAAAGTGATAAAATTAAGTGCCCGTTGATGTCTTTTTGAAATGTCCCTTTCACTCATTACATAAATTTCAGTAGTTGTCTTTGTCTAACGACAGCATGTGTATCGATAGTGTTGTGATTTATAAGTAGATATTTGTTTGGTCATCGTTTACATTTTTTTAATGTCATTATTTTATAAAAATAGTGGTGCATCATTGTGGTATCTACATGTCATAGGTTTCTTAAATTGCCGCGAAAGGAAAAAGAAGAAGATCGACGCTACTTGTCGAGGGGATCAATGGTTTCCCACCAAATATAGTGTGCTATGCTCAAGCCACTTCACAGAAGACAATCTTCATATTATGAAAAACCGTAGAAGGCTGTTGGATTCCGCTATACATTGCCATTTTTAGTAGAGACTTTTACGTTTTTTAAAAGTATAGTACCAATGTAGATTGCACAATAAGTAATAGCATTAAGTAGTAGATTTAAACCTGTTATTCTAATTGTTACACGTCGAAATTAAACTATTTTTAAAGAATTATTAAAACATAAAACAAGTGAAAGTTATAATGTGATTATTGTTATTCTAGTATTAATAATATCCTATTATTATTAAGTACATCTAAATTTGAAACACGTACCGTATGGTTTATTAATTAATAATGCTACTTTTAGGTACAACACATGGCAAAAATTCTGTCACCACCGAGAGTACGAGTACATACAAGAGCACACACAAAGGATTCACACCATTTTGTTAGTGAGATAAAAGACCTACATCTCGCTGACAATGGAACTATGGTCAGTTTTGGTGTTCAGTCACTATTCATATGCCTACCTATTGAAGACTGATCTCAGTTATAACTAGGAAGCTAGAAGATAACAACATGCTTGCAGAATATGCAGTATTACTCACCTCATGTTCTAGTTAACTGATGGTGTGGCGATGGGCTCATCTGTATCTCCTATAGTCGCCGACATATTCATGAAGGACATTGAGGAGAAAGCCCTTCTTACTGCTCCAATAAATCCAAGATTCTAGAAGCGGTACGTAGACGACACTCACAATTTTACCGTATGACAAAGCAACTGCATTTTTAGACCACCTTAACTCCATAAACTCTAAAATACATATCACAATGGAGTTAGAGGCATATAATTATTTAGCTTTCCTAGTAAGTTCCATAACACCACTGGTCACATTATGTATAGAAAAAAGTCCCATACCAACCGATATTTAAATGGTGAATCTCACGATCATTCTTCACAGTTAGCTACCGTGAGTAAATCTTTGTTTCAGAGAGAGCACGGGATCTCTGACAGAAAACATCTGGCCTCCGAGCTTCAGCACTTCAAGCAAGTATTGCAGGACAACAAGCTTTGGGTCCCACGCTTACGTCACAGCAATCGAGTGAAGCTGACCACAGTCGATGGATGGGTGCTGCCAACTGCCATCTGCAAAATCTACCCAAACCCAAGCAATACCACTGCAGGACTTCAAGATACTGACTATACGGGCTAACCATATTGAGATATTGAGACGTCAAATATCTCAGTAACCCTCCCACTCGTGACCATAAGTTAATTAAACGCGATAAAATCCGTATATATAGTTTTATTCAATATGTAGTGTTCGTGTAAATTTATGAAATCATTAGATTACGTGTACAAATATATATATATATATATATATATATATATATATATATATATATCTTTTTATGGGCTCAATAATTTTGTATGAAATTATAAGTTTCAAATAAAGAAATTATTATTATTATGGGGTATCTATATAGTTTTCTCATCTCTCTTCTCATTATAAATGAAAATGAAAAGATAAATATACATAAATATCAATAACATAAAATAAATATAAAAGTACATAAATAAATAAAAGCCCAACCAGATGGAGGCCCTCGGCAGGGGAGACCAAACGGCCGAGGGTTAGGGGGAAAGGGAAAGAAACCGGCGGACGATGCGGGCGGTATCGAGGAGCACCGCCTTCTGCATTTGAACCTGGAGCGGTCCGCCACGTAGTCCCAGTCGCCTCAGATGACCCGAGAGGCTGACTGGGATTAGCCCGTTTGCAGAGACGACTACAGGAATAATTTCGGTCGGCAGACCACCCCACATGTCGGTCACCTCGTGAGCCAGGTCCAGATATTTTGTTTGCTTGTCTGTTTCGGCTTTCACGAGGTTCTCGTCATACGGAATGGTAATGTCGACCAAAAATATCCTTGACTGTGCCCGGTCCATCAGCATAATATCAGGCTTATTCGCAAGAATAGTCCTGTCTGTGATGATGGCCCGGTCCCAATAGAGCCTGGCGCGATCATTTTCGAGCACGGCTTCCGGCAAGTACTTGTAATACGGCAATTTCCGATCCACGAGACCGTATTACAGAGCGAGCTCCTGGTGTAGAATTCTGGCTACTAGGTTGTGCCTGTGCAAGTACTCAAAGTTAGAAAGCGCCGAACAACCGGAGATAACATGCCTAAGTGACTCACCGGGATGACGACAAGCTCGACAGATGTCGACGGTGCCGTCCTTTAGGATGTATCTCCGATAGTTGTTGGTCTTAATAACCTGATGCTGTATTGCACAGACAAAACCCTCGGTTTCCCCGAAGAGATCACCAAAGCGTAGCCAGTGGAGGGAGGCTACTGTGTCTACAAAAGGCTCATGTAGAGCCTTGTAGAACCTCCCGTGGAGCTCCTTCTCCTTCCATACGGTCTTCCGGTCGGAAATGCTCTGCACTGCCGGGTCTTGCCATTGATCGTTGGCTAAGGATAGAGGGGTAAGTCCTTTATCACAAGAAATAACGTCCTTATAGAATGGATCATCCGATCTCGCCAGGAAGTAATCACGGAGGCTGCACACTTCGCGATTATGCATGGTGAGCGCGCTCAAGAAGCCACGACCACCATGCTTCCGCGACAAGTACAGCCTCATTACCGACGATCTCGGATGATGCATCCTATGGGACGTCATGGTAGTGCGGACTTTTCTATCCAGGGCGTTAAGTTCAGTCTGAGTCCACCTGAGCATGCCAAAGGTATACATGAGGACAGGCATGACCCAAACGTTATATGCGCGTGCCTTATTTACACCGGACAAAAGGCTGTTAAGCACTTTGGTCAAGCGTGCATAAAACACGTCGCAAACTGACTGTTTCATACCAGTCTCATCGATACCGATGTTTTGTGACATACCCAGGTATCGATATGTTTCAGCCTCGGAAAGGGTCCTTAAGTTGACGGGCATAGATAAGTCTACGCCCTCAGAGTTAGCAACCCTTCCCCTTTCAACATGGAGGACCGCACACTTATCCGTCCCAAGCTCCATTCCAATGGAATTGCTAAATTCGCAAGTGATGTTTAGCAATTCCATAAGATGGGAGCGCCTGGAGGCGAATAACTTGAGGTCATCCATATAGAAAAGGTGGGTCACTTTTGTCCCTCCTTTCCGTAGCTGAAATCCCCTCCCGGAGCCCTCCAGTAAGGTACTGAGAGGGTTCAGAGAGAGGCAGAAACAGATTGGACTCAGAAAATCGCCCTGGAAGATACCCCTTCTTATCCTTATGTGGTTCTCCGCAGCCATCATCCGCTCTCCCAGATGACAAAGGATCGTACTCCACTGCCCCATACACCGCTCGAGGAAGTCTCTAACTGTAAAGTCTATCTTGTACAGCTCGAGGACTCTCTTTAGCCATGTATGGGGCACCGAGTCGAATGCCTTTCTGTAGTCTATCCAGGCGGCGGAGAAGTTCCGACGGTTGCGTTTCACCACTTTGCCAATGACCGCGTCAATGAGGAGTGGTTCCTTGGTTCCACGACCACCGCCCCGACATTCATTTTGAGCGCACGACATCACCTGATTTGAGTCCAGGTGACAAGTGATTCTCGCGCTCAAAATGGATGTTAGTGTCTTGTATATGGTCGGTAGACACGTGATGGGGCGGTATTTGCTCGGGTCTGTGGTACCCTGGTCTTTAGGAACCAAATGAGTGATCCCAGTAGTGAAGAGGCTTGGGAGCGACTTCTGGTTGAGAGCCTCTTGAAACTGTCGGGCAAGCACAGAGTGACACACCATGAACCCCTTCAGCCAGTAGTGATGCAGCCCGTCAAGCCCCGGACTTTTTCCAGTTCGGGGCCCTACGGACCGCCTCAGCTACGTCATCCGGCGTTATGATGACGGGGTCCATGGGCGTAATACCCGCACACTGACTCGCCACAACTTCCGTCCAAGGGCCCTCGCTGTGGTTTACGGGCTCTGACCACAGGCCGCGCCAGAATGCTACAGTGTCGGCCTGATTCGGTGCTGGACCCGTTCCACTTACCATTGGTCGCTCCAATGATTCATAGAGCCTCTTCTGATCACTCTGGAAGAGACGATTCTGGTTGAACCGTGTCGACCTCTCGGTATATCGCCGAATCCGCTTTCCCCAAGCAGCGATTCTCTGCTTCAGATCATCTATGCGCTCCGTCAGTTTTTGCGTTATATCCGGCTGGGACAAACTGACATTTGTCCCAGCAAACGCCATCCTGACGGTGCGCACAATTCTTGGCCTGTTGTTGCCTGATCTGAAGCATATCAGTCTGCCGATGAGAGCTCTAGCCTTTGCGATACGTTCCTCAATTCTTCTTCTCCATGCTGGGATAGCGCTACTATGGCCAGTAGCACGTCCAGCCGTGGAAACCTTGGCGCCTATGATACGGCAGACTGCCAGCGCGGCGCCAAAAAGAATTGAGTCCGTCTCGCAAAGGTCCCGGCTGGCTTCCAAATAGGTCACCAGCATTGGGTTCAGAGCCCTCACGACAGCCCGATTCCGCTTGCTTAGGGCTATGCGGGGAAGTCGCGGTCGATTTTCGAGAGGCGTACTGCGCGTTTCCACAATCGCTTCTTCGAATGTACTCCTCATATGCTCTAATTTCAGTTCCTGGGCGACTGTTCCATCATCGTTTGAATCAACCACAACTGGGGTATTCACGGCAGCATCCACGTTTGCGGGTTGCTCTACCATTTGTGGCGCCGCATCCTCAGCCGTAGCATTCTCATCCGACGAGGGAACAGCCTCACGTCGTAGCCATTCGAGTTCGGCGACATCAAATATATTTGAGCGCAAGATATACCGAACTCGGTCTGCCAGGTTTTGCTCTGGACGGTTAAAGATGGCTCCAGCTCAGCAAAAAGACGATGCATCCTAGCCCGATACGCCAAACATCCAGTTTCTCCCCCTTTCGCCCTAAAATACGCCCGCAATGCGTTGCTGTTCATCTGGGTTGTCCAACGCATGCGGCGTACTCCACCAGAGGCGGGTGCCGATTGCTGGGCCCGCGAAGACCCTGCCGACACCAAGCCAGCTGGTGGGGATGATGGATGCTAGGGGCTGCTGGGTGGTCGTGCATCACCTCGCGCTCGGCTGGCGGTTCGTATGCTGCCGCGTCCAGCGCCAGCTCCAGACGCGCCCTGGCGACCTCCAGGCAGCGGCCCTTTGCGCGTTCTATTTAATTCCATCATCCATTTTAGGGCGTCATTTAGCGGGAGACGCCCAGACCCGGCGCCGTTTCATGTTGAGGCCATGTGCACAAACGGGCCTTTGCACCTTCAATTTTTGCTGAGGCACGGCACTAACACCTCTTGGCAAGGTGCTGACTGACTGCGCTGACGTAGCGGTTTTGTCACATAACCGTTACGTCAGCGGGCGATGGGGTCGTCACTTCCCTACGCCTTATTTATTATTATTATTATTAAAACAATACACACGACACGCACATGCTGAATGAGTGTTAAAGTTTCTATAACAAGGACGCGTATGAATTATTATTTTAAATTCCTTTCGTGGATTGCAAGCAGCGGTTTTTGAAAAATATAAAAATTCTGTTTTAGTGTTGTTGAATGTAAGTGGGTTATCTTCCAGCCAATTAGTAACCGTAGGGTTACAGTCCTTCCTCAGTGGATTTTTAACAGCATCCCAACTCGGACCATAAAAGAGTAAGACATTAAAAAAAATATATGCTTAAAGAAAAATACAAAAAATAATAATTTTAAATAAACAGATAGTAATTTTTTACTTTTAAGTTTGTTTATATCACTTTCACTATTAATTCTTATTAGCGTGGATCCATCTTCTTTACGTAACAATAGTTTGCCGTATGAAGTCCACCCTAGGTCGACGCAAATTCTCTTGTCAGGAAGAATAAACGCTTACTCTTGGATGTGAGACTTTCCGATATATAGACAGTATTTTTTGGACCGTTTAGATTTAAATAACGGGTACTAAGCTTATCATCCTTGTTAGTCTTATTAAAAGTTTTTATTGATTTTAGAAATTAATCTTCTATTAAGGCATTTGTAAACTCTGCATTTATAAACGCTGCTCCGGTTTATTTGTTGTTTTGGAATTGACTCGAAGCATATCCTAGATTTCTGATGGCTGAAATTGGACATTAATGGCTTTGCCTAAGTTAATAATAATACTAGTCAAATCTTGTTTACTTTTGGATGCCTGTTTTGGTATATTTCTTATATCTTAACTGTTTGATCGGGACTGGCGTTCCAAGTGTTCAACTTTATCTTCTAGAATTTGTATATAGTTCCGATCTTCTTTTCTCTCCTCCTCTAGATGGCAAATTTTATATATCAACTCATCGTATTTTTAGACATGAATTCGACGGACTCCTGTAAATTATTGTTTTGTAATTTGAATTCGACCTTTAAACTAATAGATGCAAGGTGTATAACCGTTGTTCTTCTTTAAAATCAGATAACATTTTTATGAATTCCTTTTTAAATTCAATAATTTTTGATTGTTTTATACTTTCTTCCCTTTTCCTTTTAGGTTGGCTTTTTATAGTACAAAGTTCTGGATCATCAAGCTTTGTGCAGATATTTGGGTCAGACACAGAGTGATCCGATTGGATAAGCGTCTTAGGCGGCGTACGATCGACAGGCATTGTTGTTATAGTACCAGGGTCGCAGGAAGAAATAAATGCTTAATAATGTCACAACGGTTATATATGATAGCTCTGTTTGAGAAATATGACCACTATTAGCGTTTAATTATAACCGAATACGTCGTACTATACACGGTGTATGGTAGACAATGTGTTACCAGAGAGTTTTGAAATAAATGTCCGCAATCGACGAATTCATACAAATATTCTTTCCGTCTGGTTTAAAAAAATAAAGCAATGTATATATATACATTGCTTTATTTTTTTAATAAATTTCAAATAAAAATTGATCAATTTGTTTATTTATCTATAATCAGTAAATCCCAAATTTATCGATCAAGGTCCCAACCCTGTCCCATCACTATGGTTCGGAGCATTCTACGTTAACCTTGAATTATCCAATCACAACGCATTTGATTCGTCCCCCGCAACTCATGTATGCCGCGAAATTTGTTGAAATCAAAACAAATATTCCATGATGCTGTATCTATTATAAGGTAATCTGTGGCCGATGTGTATATGCAAGCACAGGTACGCTCCCTGTTCTCTCACTCTTATAATCCGATGGGACGGTAAACCGACACGATCAGAGAGATCAGGTGCAGAACCAATGGCTTTACGTGCTTCCAAGCGACGGGGGTGGGACACCGCCATCTTCCTGACTGCGGGCAGCTACTGAGAATTTCTTGATGGAAAAACTCAATAATTGATTTTTTGGCTCGACCTGGTATTCGAACCCAGGATCTCGTGATCAGAAGTCATACTACTACAACCACTAGACCAACGAGGCACTCAGTATATTTAATAGACTGTAACGGTAACGGTAACGGAAATAAGTAATATGCTTTTTGATTAAGTTTGCCGTTATCTTAATAATGAATGTGAATGTCTTGAAATATACTTAGTGTAAAAACTCGGAAGAACAATTATTTGTTCTTCCGAGTTTTTACACTAACTATATTTCAAGACCACCACTTTTATAAGTGGTTTCTGATTATGATATATAGATGAACACGTGTTTCCGACTGTTCACCCTAAGGTGGATAAACCGAATAACCCAAAACTCTACGCGCCTGGATCTAGACAAAGACTAGCCTGCATTCAATTACAAAACAAGGAGTTTTTCAGATGTATTTTTCACTCATTTTTCATTTTTTCGCTTTTAACCTTACTGTAATGTTTATGTTGTTATACTTTACAAGGAAGCTGAGCGGTGCGAGGGTGCATAGCACACTAATTTTACTAATGATTTGCGAAAAAGCGATGTGCTACGAGTCACGAGTAAGTACAAGTCATTAAACCACACTACCTCGCACACATTACTTGCACACATCCCTAACCCTAAAAGGATGCACCTTTGCATATATTTTCAGCTTAATTTGTATGTAAAACACCTCAATCCCTAAGTCTTTTACCACCAGAGCTTCACAGAGCGTGGCTGGGAGGATGAAGTAATCCTATCGCCGAATATTTTCCTCGCGCACCGTCTACACCGCATATTTCTCGCGTAAGCCTCTTACTAGCTCTCTGCGCCCTTTCTCTTCTTTTAACCAAAAACCGTACTAGAGTAATTCTTTAGCAGCAGAAACGGGTAAGAATGGTACCTACCCTCAGGAATTTCAGGGTAAAATAAGAGTCATTTAAATCTGCGTAGGCTGTTATATTTCAATTTTATCGTTTATGATTATGCTCCGTTGGATTGATTTATTTTTTGAAGCTATCAGATAATTACAGAAAGGCGTCGCGATAGCTTGATAAAGCAATGCAAGAAGCAAATAGATATAAAGAAGATTAATTAAACGATATATTTTATTCTTATCTACTAAGTTGACAGTGGCTGAAAGATATCGTTTAATTTTAAATCTTTATATATTGTTATTGTGCGAACAGTGTCTAATAAAACAAAAGGTAAGAAATAAATGCAATCGCATTTGATGGAACATTTTATAATACTATATTTAATTTCATATAGCGTTAAAAATTTACTACATTTGATATGAGTTTTAATTTATTGTATAAAAGTATGTTTATGTTGTTCAAACATTTTCACTGACCTTTTTAGAAAACGTTTTGATTTATTTCTTCAATATTTTTTTGATAATTCAATTTTCAAATTACATTTTTTTATAATATTCTTATAACTTAACTGCAAATAAATACTGCAGACGACAAACACTCACAACTAACATAAAAATACTCAAACCACATTATTTAATAGCTATTACAGTCAGTTCTTTAGCTATTCTATACACTTTATCTTAGCACCGACTTCAAAAACTAATATGTTATGTAGAAATTATTTTAATTTTAATTTTTTTATTAATTGAGTTAATTAGATTTAAAAAACTTTGACTTTAGTGAAATCTATTGAGTGAAGTACAAATTTATTTTATTTTGGTATTTGATTATTTATATTTCAATAATAAAATGTAGTTAAAGTCAGATATTTTCCTTTTTAGTCGCCAAGCAATACTGAATTCACTGACAAAGAACGTGGGATATTGGTTAATCTATCTGTAGGCTGCAGTAACCACTAACCATTGAATGAACTAACATTTCTTGTTTATGATAAGACGATCTACGTGGCAGTATATTATTAATGTACCACGAATGGGTTGGCTTGACCGAGAATGGTCACACTCGCACAGAATACCAGCGTGAAATAGCATCATAATACTACTGTGTAATTCATATGTTGAAGGCGTGAACCGGATATGCTTTTTACTGGTAACTAGGCATTCCATATTAGTCATTAGGAATGAAAACGCATCTCCATTTTGTATCTTAATTGAGGATACATGTAGATATCTATGGGTAACGGCATCCACTTAGGTTTTTTGTTACTGTATTCTGTAATTACTCCACCTCTCTCATCCTATATAGTCAAAGCGTTGCAGGGCACAGTCAGTCAATAAGGTATTTATTCGTTATTCATTTATTTACTTATTCAGTGATAGTCATTTATATCTATGCTTACATTTGAAATCAACGGCAGAGATATTCAAAATAATAACATTTTTTTTTAAATCATATGCTACTAAAGGCTTACATTTAAGTTTAGTTGGTG